CTAAATTGCAATCACTATCGTAAAACGTAGTATTTAAACAGCGTTTAGGGTGAAATTACTGTACGTATACTTATGTTCGTCTAAAATATTACTTTAGGTGTCAGTTTTGTAAATTTTTTATTGTTCTGTTTGTGTCAAAACATTAATTTTATTATTTGGTGGGACCATAATGTTAAGTGCCTTGAGTATTTACTTATGTGTATATTATGAAGTAATTTATAACAAAATAAATCTAATAATTCCAATTAATATTGTATTTTTGTTATTTATATCCTTGGCATGAGCTGATATGAGGTCATTGTTAGTACATACTTGAGTTCAAAGTGAGTGTCTTGGTGTTTGTAAGTATTGTACACGCACATTGTATAAGATGTGTTGTGTGAAGGATTGTAATGGTAATTCCGATATAGATTTGGTACGATGGTCACAAATAATTTGGAAAACACTGAACATCACTTTATTCGACTCGTGGTCTGTACCGACTGCACGAATAACGCGGCGGTTGGGAAACCGACGGCCGTGCAACATGTCGTGCGTTCAGTTTTCGCATGGAACAAAGCTTTGTGCGATCCAAAAATATTCGTTTCGGGTCAGGATGTATTTTGTATGTGAAATTGTGTTTAAACGCATTCATGAAACCATCAACCACCAACCAATCCATGAAACAGGAGAAATCAAAGTGTAAGACTTAAAGTATACATTCAGTCAACAAAGTATCGGGAATGAATGTTTTTTTTATGGTTCCAAATTCGAATTTAATTTTTTTTTGTTGTTGTTAGATTGGCATAACTGTTTTCCATTTTGGCGCGGAATTTGAGTTGCATCTGTTATTTATATTAAAAATAAGTGCTGTTTTTAGTTTTACAATATCTAGTGTGTATTGCGAATTTCATAATGGACAAAAACATCGAACAAAGAGTTTGTCTTAAATTTTGCATCGTAAATGAGATTTCGTGTTCGGAGGCACTCAAAATGTTACAGAAGGCTTACGGTGAATCGACTTTATCAAAAACACGTGCTTATGTGTGGTACAAAGCGTTCAAAAGCGGTCGAGATGTGATGGAAGATTTGCCTCGTTCTGGTAGGCCATCAACATCTGCAACTGAAGTTAACATCGCAAAAGTGAAGGAAATAGTGACTGAAAATCCTCATTCAATTTCAGAGAGATGGCCGCCGAACTTTCTGTATCTCACGAGTCGATCCGTACCATTTTAACAAATAATTTGGGTATGAAACGTGTTCCCGCTCGGCTAGTCCCAAAAGACCTGAATATTCTTCAAAAACTAAATCGCATGAAAGTCGCTGATGACATGCTAGAACGAGTCAATACCGACCCAACATTCATGAAACGCATTGTTACTGGTGACGAGACGTGGGTTTACGAGTTTGACATGCAAACTAGTCAACAAGCTTCGGAATGGCGCCTTCCAACTGAACCAAAACCGAAAAAACCACGTCAAAGTCGATCAAAAGTCAAAGTCATGTTAACTGTTTTCTTTGACTATCGCGGTGTTGTGCACTCAGAATTCTTGCCCGAAGGTCAAACGGTAAATAAAGAATATTATTTGAGCGTTATGCGGCGTTTAAGAGAACAAATTCGACGAAAAAGGCCAGAAATGTGAAAAGAAAATTCTTGGATTTTGCATCACGATAATGCGCCTTCGCACAAGGCCATCATTGTAAACGATTTTTTGTCCAAACACTCAACAAACACCATCGAGCAGCCACCATATTCACCAGATATGGCTCCAGCCGACTTCTTTCTTTTTCCCACACTCAAATTACCCCTTCGTGGCACCCGTTTTCAATCGTTAGAAGACATAAAGGAGAATTCGCGGCGAGCACTGAACTCAATTCCGGGAACAGCGTTTAAAAAAAGTTTCGATGATTGGATTATTCGTTGGCGTAAGTGTATCGTTTCTGAAGGAGCATAGGTACTTTGAAGGTGATAAAATAAATTTATATGAATAACAAACATTTTGTGTATTATTGACTTTTTCCCGGTACTTTCTTGACAGAGTAGTAGGTACCTACATACGATACGCTAGTACATTCCTCGTGTTTATCTGTATATGATTAATAATAACTAGTGAAAACCGTCGTGACAATAATAAAAACCTTGATAATAATGATACCAAATGGATAATAGGTAGGTAATAAATAAAAAGTATTTTAAGTGCTAGAATTTATTAGGCGGAAAACAAAACTCCGTTTTTATTTAAAAATGACAATGCACATAGTGCATAAAGTAAGTAGAATATTTTTAATGTAGGCAGGTTAGTCAACAGAAAAAGCAGTTGAGACACTCTCATTCTGATTTTGTACCGTACTTATGAATGTAGTCTATTTATTTGACATTGCTCAAAGCGCGAAGCTATGCCACATCCAATAATAACGTCATCCACGAATAAAAATAAAACTAGGTTAGATGGCGTACCTACCCATCTACAATAAGTAGGTACTTATATACAAGTAATAGTGTGGTAGTATTCTAGAATGTATTTGCCAGTCTCCATTCTTCGGGGGCAAAACCCGGCTCGAGGATTTCACATAAATCAGAAACCGGGCAGTAGATAGCGCTCTCTGAGAAACCCGTACGTTTCACCAACACGCTCAAACTTGGAGATTATTCCAAACTGGCCACAGGCCTTCAAGGGCCGTTCATGGGTAAAGTGCGCGTTTTTTTATTAGTGATGTGCTGACATTTGGCCGCTATCTCGCCTGGTGGTGGACTGGACCGATGATGGAGCACGCCTTCCCTTTAATCGCCTTTAAACCAACATTGTATTGTACTTACATGAATGATAGTTTCGAGAATTTTCATACAGGAATCTATAGTAAGGTTTACCAGTGGTCTAGCGAAGTCGCTGGAAAATAATGATGTATTGTTATATAATGTTACAAGATATATAATTATATAGTATGGGAGCTCGGCACGAATGGTTCGACTCGACTGGAGTTTAAACCACGCCTCACAAAAAACCGGAACGTTACGTAAGACAACCACACCGTTGTGTTTTGCTATGTGAGTGAGGTTATCGGAGTATAATTCTGCCCCCCACCCCAATCCTTAAATATCCAAAACCCTTATTCCTAAAAGGCCGGCAACCCAATCGTAACTCCTTTGGTGATGCAGGTGTCCATGGAGATATTCAGCAAATTATACCCACATGATGTAACTTTTAGAATCTAACTAAGTTGGAAACAGCAGCAGATTTCGAGTCTCGTACAAGGAGGCTTGCAATAAAAAAAGTATAAATTCATCACATATAGTGAATTTATTATCTGAACAAAAATAATCTATAAGTTCTTAAAATATTTACAATTCCTTAAATTACAACTTACTGTCAACATACCCTGTTCGCTTTTCAACCGTTGCGTTCAAACATTACATTAACTAGACGTGTAGGTGGCAAGAAGACATTCCGAGCGATCTACGTTCCACGACTCTTATAATTACGGATAAGTTAACAGCGATGAAGTCAAATCGGCCCTTCACGATACTTACAACATGTTGAAAAGAGAAGAGAGGGCGGGGATTCTCCTAATCTTACATAACATTATATAAGCTAATCTTCTAATAACACAGTCCCATACATTACCCTAGCATATACTTAGATCGGCTCCGCGATAGTCGCTACGGTTCACTTCCTATCGATACACAACTAACGTGGACATTCAGGTACATAACATACGTAAAGCAATACAAGTACATATACGCTTTTTAAAATCATAAACAAATATATGAACCGATGACAGGACAATTTGCGACGATGAAAATGAATTGAGAGAACAATGACCATTGACCTATATCAATACAGTTACTTCAATAAATGGGAATAAAAATAGCGGTGACAGGGACGCGGGTTCGTTAGCGGAATTGCTATCGTTTGTATGATCGGAAAAGTTTTAATTCGCGTACTTTTCAACTTTATTCCTATAGAAATAAGGATGAAAAGCGGTTAACAATGGCGTTTTACATCTACATCAATTATGCTTTGGTACCAACAATACTGGCGCGCTAATGATCCCTTAACATATGTTTGTTCATTAAAATAAGTACCGGCTTTACTTCGCAATGTTTACTGAAGAAACGAAACGTGATGGAGAAAAATGACTGCATTTAACACTACGACCACTTAAAGTTAATGAATATGATGACGATATGATTTAAGTACTTATTTAAAACATCGAACGATTTTATTATGGAAATAGGTCAGTCTGATGTGAACTGAGACATACAAGACAGTAAAATCATTTTGAAAGTATCTCTATTTCGTAAGTAATAAGAGTGATTTTAGTAAATTATAATAACGATGAGGTCGTATAAGGAAAAAGACAAGATCCCGGCAATATACGCAGCCTTGTTTCATTTGTAGTTGTTGTTGAATTCTGACATTCGACCAATACGACGGACATCTATAGCGACACACGCATACCAGACGTAATACAAACCGATACTAAACAGTAATCTACAGTTAGATAATTGTAAGTATAAAAAGTGCATTCTAACATAAACATCAGATATAAAGGTATCTGAAGTAATGTTCTAAGACAAAGTTTGTAGGTTCATATAAAGATACAATTGTGTAAATTCGAGTATTGATGCAGTACAATTGCACATTGAACAAAAACAAACAGTTTGCCATACACGTCGCTAGGACATAGCCAATCTAACTTGCTAGTTAAAGTACTTAATATGTATAATCAGATGTTTTATAACATATTTGCAGCTCGCAAAGCTAAACATTGTAAAGTTTTATAAATATATACACATAGCTATAACACCTGCAGTCTAAGCTTGCAATAATAATGCGACATCTATACACAAAAAGCGTTAACAGTAGCACTTATTGTTCCATGTTTAATATGTACCGTTTTCTTATATATACAACAAATAGCTTTCTATGAGTAACGGCGTCGCTGACGTCCCGACGCTTCGCCTATGTATGCGGCGGTAAACATGTTAATTTCGACAGTCAGAAGTCAGAAACACTAAGCGTTCTTCCAGAAACATTCTAGCTCACCCATTCATTGGCTTGGCCATGCAAATTAGCTGTTATCTTCGAGATGCGATGACGTATGCTTGCTATCATTAATGATTTATGTCTATTTACAGTTACTCTATGACACGGGCGTCGCGTTGACTTAGTCAGGTCGGTATATGGGTATTTTGGGGATAAACTCTATGAGAAGTACGTATTCCATCATGGATGAGGAGTCGCAGTGTTGCTTGGTGAGTCGCCAGCGAAGTCCCAGCTTGTTGTATAGTCGACTATTCTCCCATTCCAATAGTTTGTTCAAGGAGTGTTGCGTCTGTAAAGAAAACACAATTTTATTAGTACATAGAACTTACATAATACCACGCCTTAAAGTAAAAGTGTACATTGTCGTAATAAATACACACTTTTTGTCAGTTATGTAACTTTACTAGCCAGCATGCGGCTTTGCAGGCGTATTAAGGTAACGTATGCCGGGATTTTAAAAACACCAACGTTTCAATAGATAACTTGTATAATTTACCCTTTTTGTAGCTAATTCCGACCATAGGTCGAGACCAAACGGTACACGCTACATACAAAATTACAAATTTTACCTCTTTATAATATAAGTATAGATATAGATAAGTAACATGTAATTGAAGGCCAGTTTATCAACACCACACTAAAACTACTGGGAAAGACCAAACATTCCTATTGGGAAGACCTAAACCCCGGGGAAAAGTGGTTTCTTACAATGAGTCAGTGAATAATACTTATTTCTATTTATACATTGATATTACACAAATATGAACGAGCTGCTAGCCACCGACAGGTTTATGTGGCTAGCAAACGAAGTAAACAAAGGTTTATATTATTATTTACGATACACAACATTGTAGATGGTCATAAATAATGCATATAAACATCGCAGATCGTGAAATATTTGGGTAAAATGGTGTTGCTACTACATTATTTATATAAGAGATGAACCGATAGCTGTTTTTGTCTGACGGGTAGTTGAATATTTAACCACATATTTCGTTATTTGATCTTATTTATACATAGATTCTTTTAAATATATCAAGTAAATAGGTAAGTTTGCATTAACTGTATTAAACATCTTTAAATAAGAAAGTATTTTATTTTAAAGTTTTATAGAGAATTAGAGTATACTGAATCGGAATTTTATTGAGGCCTTATTTTACACGAATTAGGGCTAATGTTTCAATGGTTAATAAAAGTTACCTAGGAAATAAACAGAAATAAATATGATGTTGTCGCGTCAGAATATTTGTATAAGACAGTGACAGCAACACTTCTATTCCTCAGATAAGATTTATCTGACTATTGAAAAATCAGCCCTTAATAGCATAATTTTTATGGGACTATCCGGTAAATATTGACCTACTACCCATTTCCTGTTGGATTGTTAATAAAGGTCGGATATCGGTAGTCTGTCTCATTTTAATTTGATATTATGAACTACATTAACATTTCTATCAGACAAATACATCAAAGAATAAAAAATATTTCAAACTAGTTAGTATCAATACTATATTAGCAATAACGAACTGATAAGTAATATTGCTTTTGCGTTTATATAAATATTTTATTTCTAGTCTCGTTATTACGCATTTACCGCATAACTGAGCAGCGATAATTAAAAAGGCGATTAGTAAATAATATAATAGCACAATTTATTAATTACGAAAATTAATTGTTCAATCAATTATCCATTCCGTTCTCTTTAACATTCTGTATCCTTGCCTGAAACAATTTTAACGATATTGTTTGCAATTTTTCGTGACTAAGTTTAAAGATTTTTTTTTTATTTTGGGTTCATGATCATCTTAAACTTTTGCTACTTTACGTACATGAAAACTAAACACATTGCGAGACCATAGGAGTCATACCTAGGCCATAGAGCTTAGCAATGGAGGGACCAAGCATAACCAGACAGTACATACATAAGGAAAATAACATTTAAGTTACACATAATAATATACAAACAACCTACTTGGGTAGGTGATAATAAAACAAATTAGGATTTATTTAGTCATTCGAAACTGTGGAGAATTGGGGATTTACAAATGTCAAAGACTTCATTATAAATGTACTGAATTTGTGCATATATAGAATCCTACAAACCACATTTGAAATAGGTGATAATGGAAAAGAGCAATAATTTTATTAGTACATAAATATATAGTGGCTATAGTTTATTACTGTACATAATTTACCAAGTCAATAAACATACATGGCACAAAAACGTGACTAAATGTAGAAGGCATTTACTACAGAGAAGTTAAAAATCTAATCTCTTATAGGTACCTATTTTCATCAGTTTGCGTATAAACTTAGAACATTAACGTGCATAACAACTAAATCAATAAAGCTTTGCCTCAAAAATAGCACTAGTATTAGTTAAATTGTTCGATCGAAGTGTTCAACCTTCAACTTCACTTGGCGACGTTTGACGCTGTGTGCATGCCCATTAAATATGTATGCGTGTGAATTACTAGGAATAATTGTAATACGAACAATGTCTTGGACAGAATTGCTAGCTATATAATATGTTCCTCGCTATTGTTCGCACGATCCAGGTCAGACCTAGCGGGAATTTTGGATCTATTGTACAAGTTTTTTTGGGATAAAGATTTCATTTATTATCTGTTCAACAATCAGTTTATTTAATTCATTCGTTACGTTATAAGACGACTAGAATAACAATATAGAACATAGTTTGTAATTTTCCGTATCTAGGGTAGCCCAGCCAAAATAAATTTGAAAATAGTTTGGTTCAATTACCACATACAGCAAAGTGTGTTGTAGCAAACTGAAATTGCAGCCGAACAATACGAGAATCTACATTTTTTCGAAGTTTAGTTTTCCTCCCTAAGTAGGGTTGCCATCTTTAAAATATGTCAACCAGGACAGTAAGTGTAAAAATCTCGCATTTTGGACCTCACTCCCCGGATATTTGAAAGATATTCTTGCTGTTACTACTCTTCGAAATAAAATATAATTTTAATTTATAAAACTTAATTTGCGATTGTTCGTGAAATATGTGAAGTGGCGGTAAATGCAAAAAAATTATAACTACAATTTGAACCCCGCCCGTACGCCCCCACTCAGTAGTACACTATTAATTTTCTTATCCTAGTTTTTTTTTGTTATTTGCGAACTTACCCTTTTACTAAGACATATGACAGGCCATAGAGAGCATCCTAAGGTGCAGCAGCAACATACGCAGCCGCAGAACAGCCATTTTACGTTGACCGGCAACGTCTTTTTCAGCACGCTGTTGATGCGGGCCACGGTAGCCTGGTACTCCTCTGGCGCTACCCGTGACTGCAGCCCCGAAGGAAACTCGCCATTGAAGCGGTTGCTTAGACCAAATCTGAAATAGTTGGTTGAAAAGTTTAGTTCTTCTCTGCATCTCATAGATGAAATTACTTTTGAAAAATACCTAGTCTCATATTCAGTGTTGAGTGGATCAAAGAAATGACGAAGTCTCTAAAAAGGTTGAAAAAAACTGCTGCTGTAACTCTTCTGTATTTTGGAGGCCTGTCCTAGAGTAGGAAAAGGAACAGGGTGGTTTTTGTCAGTAGGTGTCTGAGATTGTCACACCCTGGATGAGGCATCATTTGATGATTACAAACTTACAAATATGTAGGTATGCCATATCAAAATAAAAATGTGATTACTCATTAAAATAAGATTTACGAAATGCAAATAAAATGAGTATGTCATATGAGATAAACTCATTCATTGTGTATGTGTTTGTAAAGAATGAATCATTTAATGTCTTTACAGAGTGTGGAGATAACCCATATCAGTGTTAATGCATTGATAACACCAGTCAAGTATTTATCTATGATTACAAAATTGACCCTTAATCCAACACAGATGGACCCAATAAAATGTTATTGAGTATCATTGAAGCATTTACAGAAATGAAATTGCTTATATATATATCAAACACATTTTGTAAGGAAAATTTTATCAAAACATATTCCAGTAGCTTCTGTGCACAATGAAAAAATATCAAACCACACAAACAATTTGCATTTGTAATACTAGTAGAATGCAATCATGAATCATAATTTATAAATAGTTACAAAACTCATTAATTACAGGTTTAATAATTACAGATACCTGTTTGTCTTAATAAGAAAAAAATATGCACATGCTGCTAAGAAGCTATATAATATGAAATATACAGATATTAACATGAAATAGGTCATGATTTATATTTGTATGAATATAAGAACAAATAAAAAGGTGCACACTTATAATACAAATATAATGTGGTGTTTATTATGAACAGTGAATATTAAAACCACAAGCCACAAACTAATATAACTTCAGGCACTTATTACTAATAATAATGAGACAGCCGTGTTTATACGAAATTTACTAACTGGACTGTATTAATGACAAAACTGAATAAAATATTATGTATATCTTATACAGTATTTCTATATTTCTTCAGTATTCTATATTTCTTGAAGACCAAATCAAGAAGGATGGAAAGGAAAAAAGACAAAGAATAAATACTGAAAGGAGTTTCAAATGAAAAGGAATTAGTGATAGGATGACATCTCGTAGAAGAGAATGGAAGTGAAAGACAAACTATGCTGACCCCCAAATTACTTAGGTTAAGGGCAGGAAAACAAATAAAACAAGTAAATAATAAATATTATTAAAAGTGATGTAGGTAATAAAACTTGTCTTTAAAAGTATTTTGGCTAAAACAGTCTTAGAAGTAAGGAACCTTATTGTTTATTTAATCTTTGTCTTGTGACATTCAAACTGAATTATTTACATACACAAAGAATTTGTCTGAAGTAAAAGGTAAAAAGAAAAATAACACAGACATGTATGATAATCTATTTCAAAATCTATTATAAAATATTCACATCAATAATGGATTAACTGATATTCTTGTACTAATACAGAAGCATAAGGACCATAATCCTTTGTCCCATCTATGAGTGATTTCATCCTTTGCTTTACAAAAACACAAACAGTGTTGAGCGAATACTTAAACATGTACTTAATGGGTTTCTTTATCTGTGGACATAATGTTCTTTGTTCTGGACTCACTGGACAGTTTTAATGCCTTATACATAGACATTTTAAAAAAGGAATTGATTAGCTATGATGCTTTCTACAATAATTTTAGAGTAGTATTTGTTTACTTTCCTTAGTGTATGTTTTCGTGGATTGGTAACAATATAATATCTTTATGGTTAAGCAGATTGGCAATAAGAGAAATTACTCAGTTAGCCAAGACTTACAAAGTATAAAAAATCTGGGTCATGGTTTTAACATCATTTTTGGTTTGAATTATTAAGTAGGTACTTAGATGTAATTAAAGATGTATGTTATAATTTAGTATATATTTTTTCTTAAGGCTTAATATTCAGAAATGGTTCAAGATGATATCTGAGCAAATTGACAAATTTATTAAATAAGGATTTGTTGTGAAACCAAAATCTTGGTATAAAATTTTCATTTTATTTAGAGACATGTTATTATAGTAGAGAAAATATCATTTATATAAAGAGAGCAACGCAATCACACATTGAAAATTGGCTCCTGGTCAATATTATGCATAAAGAAATAGTCCTTCAATGCCACAGGTCGAGTGACAAAGAGGCGAGATTAATTCTCCAGTAGCTCTAGAAACGCAGCTACCTGGCCTTTTATATAGAACCAGGGTGACTGTAGAGCTTAACAGCTGATGTTATTAAACAGATATCACAAGTAAAAGCTTACACTGTCATGTTCCCAGCCCCTCGAATCACGATCGGATCAGGCACTAGCGTCACATGTGTCTCTTCTATATTCTCCTCGAGTTCCGTCTCATCAGGGTATATTGCATCAAAGTCTGCCATTGTACTTAACACTAACTAAAAAATCAGTTTCGTATATTATAAACACATAACAAAGCGCAGTGTTTGGAAGATTTTACACATTCACGAAAAAAGGAATACAGAAAGTCAAAAGTGACGTTTCCCTTCATAAACAGAAATGATTAATGTTGCCATATAAAGATTAGATAGTGAATATTGAGGCTTTCAAATGAATTCATAGAATTTCTAAATAAATGTTTTTTCAAGTGTTTTTCTTAACAGCTACCAAAGTTATAGTCTATAAGTGGGTAAGTATCCAAGGTCATGCCAACTATTTAGAGTTTCACCTTTTATTTACAACCTAAAAAGCCCTTTTGATAACAGTATTATTTCAATCTTGTAGCACTGTGTCAACGCAAATAGATTCGTTTCTACGTAGCGGACTAGATGGCACTACCAGTCTTGTTTGTTATGATTATTATAAAAATAACATAGCTTTGTTGACTTTGTAGTACCTACCTATTTTAGTTGTACCTACATGACAATATTGTAAATGGAATTACAGAGGCCTATTTTGTCTCCTATTGATGGTTCAGACAATTTGTTCAGTTTTATAATTTTCCTAAGTTTCCTATCGAATTTTTTAGACGTTGTTGATTTTGTTTTTATTTTAGATACTATTTTAAGTTTTTGTCACTTATCGTTTGTCCAACTCAAAGATACGTCATGAAAAGTAGACAAATACCTCTTTTTTTTGTGAGGGGAAAATCATCAAATGACTTGACTCTTACTGACTAAAAACCCCCCTGTTCCTTCTCCTGCTCTGGGCCTAGGTCGCGGACAAGTCAGTATATCTATTAACTTTAATTATTCCTTTTACAGATTATTAAGTAAATTGATTTTCATATTTTTAAATATTTTCTGAAATAACACAATCATGAAAGACAGTATTTCGCCGGTAACGGAAGCGGTCCACCGTCAAAGCTACCGGTGTTCAGGGTTCTAGAGAAAGGAACCACTGGACAATACGCGCTGTGCTTCTAGCCGCTTCTTCATTAGGTTCTACGAGGTTGTCAAAATGTGGGAAGTGGGTTCGGCTATCATAGAATACCTTAGGAGGCTCTCGTTAGGTGGTTGGATCAAGGGCTTCATTCAGAAAGTGATCCGGCCTCCGGCCAACTTAAGCGCGGGTCGCTCGTGAAGCGAGCAAGGGTAGCTCGTCGCCCGACCAGAACCAGACCCTAGCGTTCGGCGTTCAAAGAGCCAAAAGACGAACACAGACGGGGCCTATCGGACAGATGTTCAGCCAGGGTTACTACTAAGTTACTACGTTACTGGCTAATAAACTGCCCTAAAGGGCTGATATTCAGCACAATGTTGTGAGGCACCGCGACCTCGGCACAGAGCAGGAGAAGGAACAGGGGGGGTTTTAGTCAGTAAGAGTCTGACACTCCCTCCTGCCCGGGAGAAGTCATTTGATGATTTTGCCCTCACAAAAAAATAAAAAAATAAAAACTGGCTAATAACCTCCAGCTGACTTGTAATACTGAGACTACGATAACCGGTGACTCCTATGCTTTGTTTTGACCGATCTCAGCGAAAAATAAACCTTGTAGTAAGTAGCGATGTGGATTATATAAGAATAGCAAAAAAGAAAAACTTATGGGACAGTGCTTGATGTAAAGAACCAATCCAGAGCATGGTACATGTATAGCAATTAAGCCAGATTCATTAAATAATGAAGGTTTTCGTTTAGGCGGAGATCGATTGTCCGTATAAGGTACGGCCATTATGAATTATCTCACGACTCGCTAGTATGACCACTATCACACATGTATGCACTGTGTGATAACGTGCAGCTGTGACCCAAAAACGCCTTGTTATACCGCCTCCCTGCATTATACCTTCGAACTTACGAAACTACAAAAGGAGAAGGCATTTCAAAAACGATATGTCGTTAATCAAATTCAATTACGCGCGATTTTTGGGTATTCCTGGTGGACATTCATTGAAAAATATTTCGTTTCGTAATTAAAATGGATCAGTCTGACAAGTACGGTAATTATACTCGTTTGCACTTTAAAGGCACTGTAGAATTTGTATTTCGACGTTTCTTAAATGTGATGAAAGAACTAAGATGAGTTAATTTAAGATGCAATTTTTTTTAAAAGTTTGTTGAAGTGATATAGAGATGTGTATTGGAGGGTGAATGTAATGAAGAAAGTTAAAAAAACGATCGATCGATCTTTTATTCTTGATCGATTGATCTTTTTTTCTCGATACTTTGCATATCAAATTAGGGTTCAGGACCATAATAAGAAAAAAACAGTGTGGGAGAGCCATCCATCGGCACAAATGGGTCGTCTCGACCGTGGCGTGACCACAGCGTTGTGTTTCGCCATGCGAATGACGTTACTGAAGGCCAGTCCCCTCCCCTAATCCCCATATCTCCAAAACCCCTAAAGGTCGGCCACACACTCGTAACTTCTCCGTTGTTGCGGGTGTCCACGGGCGGCGGAGTTGCTTAAAATCTGGTAATCTGTAAGCATGTTTGCTCCTTTCATTTGCGTCCTATCACATTAACTTTACAATCAATTGAGCGGAAAACCTCTCAGTATGACTTTACTTTAATCAATAGAAATGTTTTGCTGTTAGTTATTGACCTACCTGATGAAAGCTTATCCTGAAAAAGCTAAATAAAATAAATTAAATAGCTTAATTTAATAATTAATTTAATAATTAATTAGCTAAATTTAAATTTCTTTCCATTTAGGCAAAAAATCTTCAGTTGAGCACGAGGATACGGGAACTACATTCGCCTATAACGACGCGTACAAAATAGATCAAGTTAATTTCGTTCGTGTAATCTAGAGCTGTAAAGCATAAAAACAGCTAAAATGTAAAAGTGGAACCTTCGCAATATTTTCAGGCATCTATGGTTGATCAGTTTCAAATAATAGATATTAATTCAACCGGTATGGTAAAGGGTATAGGGCCGGCCATGACAGATCAAACGTTTTTCTAGGCGGGTGCATTAAGCAGTGCATGCGTATAAAAGCGTCGCGTGCGCACCCCTCAGCGTCACAGCGAGTCAGAGCGCCCACCGCAGGTACTCACGCAACATGAAGGTACGAAAAGCATTTTCTTTAAACTTCACAAAAGCATTTTATTTAGAATCATGTTGTATTTAAATGTTTACGTAAAAAAAGATACGAGTACCTACGTATCTAGACATACGTAGGTACTCGGCTAGGTTTAAAAAAAAAATATTTGGCTAGGTTTAAAAAAAAATCAGACAATGTGTTTTGGCCAAGAATATTTTTTTTATACAAGTTATACAAGAAGAATAATACAACAATTAGGTGACTTTGATTTTGACAAAGGCACAGCTTAGTTCTTAAATCTCTTCCAGCAGGCCCGCTATGGGAATACATAGAAGCTCTCAATATTCAATCACCTTTAGCTGACCCCAATTCGAATTTTTAGTTAGTGAAAATATATTTTTCTTTAACCTGGCAGTTCCATATAAGGGCATAATGACATCACTGGTGAAAATGCTATATACCTAGGATAAATAAATCAAGGAATCAAGAAGTATGGTAGAAAATAAAAAGACACAACGAGGTATTAAGTTGGCTAAAATTATGATAATGAATAATAGACAATGACAAAAGCTTTTCAGTATATTCATAACTTTTTTCCACAAAGACTTTTATAACATTTATGTGTATTTTTTATCAATTCAGGTCGTAATCGTAGCAGCTATCCTGGCGGTGTGCAGAGGAGCGGCTGGTGGTCTACTGCCGGTGGCAGCCCCCTACGCGTACGGCCGTCCGTTGGGCTACCCCGCACCCCTGGCAGTAGCGAGGCCGGCTTACGCGCCAGCGCTTGCCGCCCCACTTGTCGGCCATGCCGTAGCAAAGGTGGCCCCAGTCGAGGACTATGATCCCAACCCACAATACTCCTACGCTTATGACATTCAGGATGCCATCACTGGTAAGTTTTGTTACGATCATTAAGGAAATATACTATGGTATTATGGTTTTAAACTACGTTCCCGAAATTTTGAACAGAAACACTAATTAGGCTATGCTATGCTATTGTTTGTTCCCAAAATCTTTTTTGGGTCTTGTAAACCTACATACGTTTCGAAATTTAAAAATGTAATAAAAGCTTTCTATGCCCATTCCGGGCACTTTACTTCTCGATGGTACGAGGGCACTTCATCAGCCAAAAACAATATTCAAATTGAATGTGTTTCAACAGGTGACTCGAAGAACCAGCAAGAAACTCGTTCCGGCGACGTCGTCCAGGGCTCATACTCTTTAGTGGACCCCGATGGCACTCGTCGTACCGTTGAGTACACCGCCGACCCTCACAATGGCTTCAACGCGGTCGTACACAAAGAGCCGCTTGGTGCCCCGGTTGTTAAAGCTGTGGCTGCTCCCGTAGCCCACGCTTTATACCACTAGTCTTAACAAAACCTTTCCTTGGTCACGAATCTACGTTTTTCATCATTTTTATAATGAGCGGTGAAGTCAATTAATCTGCTCTGTCTTATGTCGCTGTCAACTCACCTTCAAGCTATGCAACGACGAATTGCCCACTCATGTAAAATCTGATTAAGATAAGATTGTAATGCATTTAAGACCTACTTTTATTAAATGTGTGTAATTATCAATTTATGTTCGATGTTACACTCGCAATTCTCAAGTGATAAACATCTGTCAATCACAATATGACAGCGGGATCTAAACACTAACATTTTACAAGTAACCTAGATTCGTCCGACCAAGCCTTTGCCGTCGAAGTGACCTGACCCGTATTACGTTAATGTTTTATTTATACATATTGTAAAGTATTGTTAATTGATGTGTTAAAGCTAAGGTAATAAATAAGAGGAATCAAAAACTTGCTGTAATTTCATTTATGGTGTGGTCGTAAGATTCCGTAAGATGAATGAAATACAAGGCTTTTACGCGACAAATGCGGTGGAATTATGGTTCTTTATAGGCTACACTTAGTAATGAGTGAACCAGTTATATTATGTGCGTAAAATAATGGCGTGTGTGAATGTGTGTCAGCCGCGCCCGGCCATTATGTTCGAGCCTGCGCGGGCGCAGAGTTGTCGCAGCGAAACGCGACATGCGACACACTGTTTCTCAATCTAGACAGGGGTCTAGCCAAAATTAGTAGTGACCTGCTCTGTTTAGACTGGTTCTAATAAATGTCAAGTCGTAAACAGGTAACAAAACAGGTCTAGTCAATTATCAAGGTTTGTATTTACCAGCGACCTTTCTTCAGTTACATTTCACTCAACTATATTTATAGTATTACAGTAACTAATACTTCGTATGTAAATTTATATAACACTTCTTAAATTAATGTGTAAATAAACTAACAATTAAGTAAACCAGGGCAATGTCAGATGCAATTAAGTAATTTGGTTCATTGCGGATGCCTGCATTTAGATAGATATGTAGGCATAGATTAATTAGTACTGATATGTAGAGGAGGTACAATTAAATGGGGCATGGACGTGCTTCTCAATAATGTAGATTATAGTTTAATTTCTATTTGTGTTAAAACAATTTTAGGTACAAGAAAAAAAGAAGATTTATGAAATAGCTGGTTTCCAATCAAAAAGATTTTCGTTTTGGTCTACCTTGTTGAATGGTTGCAAATGAATGTCTCAAGCTACATCAATCGGGTCTGCGGACGGCGAGTAAGGGTAACTCGCCGCCGCCGTCGTAATGGTAAATCATCGGATGGTAATTTATTGGCACCGCCAACGGATACCTGCGGCACCAGAGGAGTCCCAGGAACGCATTTACTTACACGGAAGAGATGCCGTAGAAAATTGTTTAATGGCCAACAATTTAATGGTAACGATAAAATATGGTACATAAAACATATATTTTTTTGTAAATTAAGTTTTCGTGGTTAAGTAAACTTCCACGTGTATGCCCTTGTAACTTGAGTGCGTTGTGCAATTTCCTTGTTACTGTGACTAATACTTAGAGTAACCAATAAGGTGCTTATGGAGTTCTAAACTTGTGAATTAGGTAGATATACTTAGTAGAAACTAATAAAGGATCATCATTCTACCAATGTAATATGGAAGATGAGGATGGTGGACGGAAAGCTGGTTCTTTTCTTAGCATAGGTAATAATTTAATCAAAACTTTCGCAATTGGCAACACCTGTTCCTGTCATATATTTTTTTATTCATACTTTATCAGCATTTATTTCAACATAAATTTCAAAGAACATCAAAATAAGATTTTTTTGTGTGTTTGCTCAAATTATTGATTGACCAGTGAAGCTAAGGAAAATTTTAATTTACTCTCATAAGAAGGAGAAGGTTTGAGCATTAAACACCACGGTTGCTCAGAACGCATTGGTGATTTCAAACTTAAACAACAGATTTTCTCATTATTTTCTTCTTCGTCACTGGTATCCAAATTATATTGGATAGCACCTGTTACTCGAAAAAGTCACGTTGGTTTTTGCCAGGTTTCGAACCCATCACAATCTTATGCATGAGACGTTGGCCGCCTTAACCTCCGGGTCACAGCGACATTATTATACACCGAGGACTATTGTCAGACCAAGATCAATATTAGATAAATGTTTTAGGGATTAGAGAATAGGGTTAGAGAATTGGAAATAGTTTGAGATGAGTTAAAGAATCCCCCAACACTGGTGACCCCGACATGTTTGGCGTTTTACTACCCATCATTTATAAAAATGTTAAAATTTTCGATCAGTGACATCAAAGTTTTCGATCTATATTCCTGTATATGTATGTGTAGGTACAAAAATGAATTGCAAAATGTGTTAGCATACAACGCCTGGACCAATTTTACTAATTTCTTTTTTGTTATAGTCGCGAGAGGGTTCTTATAAAAGAAAATTTTAGAAAAGTAGATAGCAGAGCTAAGTAATAGGTACCCTTTCGTCGTTAGCGAGACAGTTGAAAACGTGCGAAGGGATGGGCTGCTAGTACCTAAAATTCTTGGTTTTATCGAATATAGTACTCGACACATCGTAGGCGATCATAGAGACGATGACGAATTTAGAAATCGTTTCGCTACGAAGCCATATTACTTTGTCTAAGGACCCAGAAGTATGACCGCATGCGACGTATTGATGTGATGAAGTTGTCCGTTTATGATTTGTTTACAAATGTTTGTTCAATCTACTTTAAAGGTTGTATAGCTGACAACAATCTAGTAAAAAAGCTACAATAATAAATACCTGTATACTTTACAATAGAATATTATATTCTATAACAATATCTATTATAGTTATTTAAACAAAAACAATTGTTGATCGTGTGGCCATGATTTCAAAGGTACCTACAATTATAAGTAGATATAGTAGTATGACAACAACGCCCGGAACTGTTCCTATATCTAGTACTGAGTCGTGAATAAGCTAGATACAATATACATATACATGTAGATACTTACATTTTTTTTGTATACTATACTACGTACTAGATTAGCACATACATTAGATATATTACCTTACAGTTTAGCCGGGGTAACAGGTCAAGCACAATAAAGTACCGTATTTCGGTTTTATTTTATTTAGTAACGCCCTTATGACAAAAAAAAGTGTTTCTACTTTATTACTTTGGTACTTTTACCACATTTTTATTCTCACTTTGTTTAGTTTTTCTTTCTTTTTATTTTTAAACATATATTTGTATCTAGTTATAGTCTCAACATTGTATTTTTCGTTTGTAAGGGACGAAACGAGACAGGCCCAACACAAGTGCTTTTGTAACTTACTGGGGTTGCCTTGATTTATATTATGTACGCAATGTTAAATGAAATAGATTTTTTTTTCTTCACACTAGGTCTAAACCATTATGCTGCGGATGAATTTGATTCCCACACCCACACGCTTACGTGAGAGACGGGACATCAAGGTTGGTTTTTAGCCATTAAAATTCTGACAGTTCACATCGTCTCTCCAAGCGAAGGGATGGAATAAAAAAGGGGTAAACTATTGAACCAGTTTTTGTATTTCGAATTGAAGGTAGGTAAGAATAAGGTCAAAAATTCAAAATCTGATCAAATTGTTCAAACTAAGACTAAAGATAAATCTTGTTTTGTAATACACTCCCTCTCGCACTATCCAGGACAAGAAAAGTCATTTAATGATTATCTCCCAAAAAATGACCTTATAGTTTTGGTTCTGGTCATGAAAAGGGACAAATAGTGTGTAGTGTGTAGGATTTGAACAAGTTACTTCTCAACTCTCATTAATTCCTGTGTATGAAAAGCATATCTTGTTTAATTTCTAAAACTGCTAGGCTTCCTCAAGTGTTTTTTTATTTGATAGGAAGGCAAACGAGCCAGCAGATCATCTGACGGTAAACAATCAGCGCTGGGTATCGTTCAAACACGAAACAACAGAGGAGTTACGAATACGTTACCGCTTTTTGGGGATTAGAGATTTGAAGACTTAGGGATTGGGAAGGGGAAGGATTGGGCCTCCGATAACCTCACTCACACGGTACACAACGCCGTGGTTGTTTCACGCCGGCTTTCTGTGCGGTTTGTGTTTATTTACTTAGTCACATTACCTACTTTGTACAGTACTTGTGTCCTTTCAAATATTATTATGTGTAAAAGCAATAGTCAGGTAGAACTAAGACATTGAATTGCGTCATGATACTTTGCGGTATGGTAGGTACTTGATATTAAGGGCTACTTCCCTATATTTTGAGTGTGTTAAAAGTAAATTTAAATAGCTTATTGAAAACGTATGGCTATCGAGCTCAATAGCGAGCTGTTGAAGAGGCTGGCACAGGTACATCGGTTATAGACTTCAGATTGTAGTTATGCCCTGCCATATGAACACGTTAGTTGTCCTCTGTTAAAAGAAGCCCCTCGAATGACATCCTAGATCATCTGGCTGGAATTGAACTGTAGACAACGACTTTCTGCAGTCATTTGTCAGGATATGCTGTTCACCTTATGAGTGCTGGTGAAAAGATTATCCTGTTTCATGTTATAATGCTCTGCCATATTACTTCTACGTCGGACAAAAGACGACTTTTATTAAATATAAGCTTCTGAAATGACATTCAATATCATTCGATAGGAAGTGAACTACATATATACAACGATCCAAAATATAATGTTCACCTTGATGCCAGTACATGGGTCTCAATTACATAATTATACACATCCAATATCATCACAAATATTTATACCACAATTGTTTGTAAGAACCTATAACAAATTAGAATAGGAAATTGACCTCAAATAAATTGAATATAGGCAGTGTTTCAATCGCCACACAAATATTAGGCTATGATAAATTAACTTCTCCAAATATATCAATTAATGCGACTGTCGAACACAGATCGTAAACAGTCTCTAATAATCATCAAATGATAATGGCTCATGCTTGCATGTCCGCCCCTGACCCCACAGAAACCGTAATAAATCATAGAAATGAATATTATTATTGCGAATGTAATGAGATATTAATTCGACCGATCTATGTAAAGTTTACGTAATCAAGATCAGGGCTAAGTATTTGTAGTTATACACCTATTGAAATAAAAGTTGATAACATAATACATAAATAGCCGCTATTTGCATATATGAGTACTATATAGTAGTAGTACTATATATATATACTATATAGTAGTATATACTATGTAGTAGTACTATATATATATACTATATAGTATATGAGTTAAGAAGAAATTATATTCAATTTACAAATCTTTATCATTTGTATTTGAAGTCGATGCTAAGTAAGGTTTCATAACGCATTAATTAGAGAGGCTCGCTCGCACAAACAGGCATAAAGTACAATAATAGACTGTAAACAAATATGTCTACCGGCTCTATTTTATGTACTAATACGAGAATCAGTGAACAGTGAAACTTTCATCGGGCCACTGCGGCTACTGTGGACCTAATGATCGTAGCGAACAACGTAACAATTAGGTAATAAAGCTCTAATTACAAGTCCACGTTAGTAAGATAGAGAGCGACTCGCGACTCGGCCGCCCTGTTCCAATAAGGAACATTCGAGTGAATGCACGCCGCTTCTATAAATACGAGAGCACTCGCCGCGCGTGTACTATTTACTTCGAACCCTATTGTTGGACAAGTCTACTATTCTACATCATGTTAAGGGTAACTGTCACTTTATTGATTTATTTTAATTATTTGTAATACTAACCAAGTGGCGTGAACATGCGTAGTGTAATATATCGTCTTAAACTTGTTTGTTTCTAGTGCATAGACCTTGTGTGCTTTCAGGGATTGCGAGATATATTTTGTAACTTATAAAGTTATTCTCTGATTTTGCAATATCTGTTTTCGTGTTTCAGGTATCATTGGTGGTCTGTGTCGTGCCGGCAGTGTTTGGTATCATTGTCAGGGATCCTCCTCCTTCGCCGAATGATTACAAGTACTCGTACAATGTTGAGGACCCGGCAACTGGAGACAGTAAGAGTCAGCACGAAGTGAGGCAAGGTGACATTGTAACAGGGGCCTACTCAGTGTTAGGACCTGACGGAACGAAGCGTACGGTCGAGTACACCGCTGATGCGAAGCATGGTTTTAAAGCTGTACTGAGAGAAGACCCTGTCAGCCCGCCCTTAGTGCGTGCGATCCCTGTTCAGCACAGTTACCACGCTGCTAACGACATCCAGTACCAGCCCCCGAGCCCCCCCGGTCCAGTGTTCGCATCTGTACTGCACCCTCAGCCATACTCCAACTACGTAGAAGAAAAACCCGCGGTGGTATATTTCTCTCCCCATTCCGAAATAGAACACAAGTCGCCTTTTAACGGGAACTACTTCGTACCGGCAAATAACAAATACTAGATTTTAGACGGATATCTAAATTATATAAGTCTTATCCTAAACTTGTGATATTAGATAAGTATTATTGAAATCGAGCCTATAAATTAAATGTATGCTGTGAATAATGTACCTAATTAGAAAATAGAAAGATTATGTAATTACTGTAGCTGGTAGGTACTAACTTAGTTTAATGGTAAAAAATGTAAGCGGATAGTTGACATAAATAAAATATGGTAAAAAATAAAGGCTAATCAAGGCTGAACTCGTACAGTGACTTATTTTTTCAACTGCAGATCGGCTTCTTGAACAAAAACGTTAGTTTGAATTAAACCTGATATTTCCTTCCAGTTACATTGTAATAGGTGCTAAAGGATATCAAGTGCATTGATAATAAAAAAATGTCACTAAAAAGCTGTAAAGTTCCGGGGTAATGCACCGGATCGGCTGGTTCAAGGTCGCGGGAAGTGGGTCGGCGAGCGAGCGGCTCGACCAGCGCGGCCTTATACGTTGGAGCTACGAAACCAGCGATTATATGAACGAGCGAGGCAGACAGCCATCACTAATGCATTACATAGTCGCGTGCCTTAAATAATGCTTCACTCGAAACAGTTACTCTTCTTTTATTTGATGGAACTCCCACTTACAAGTAATAGAAATTGCTCAACATGTTGTATCGACCGTGGTAATTAGATTAAAATACAATCGAACAATTGTTGATCTACAACAAGAGGTTCAGTTGTATTTATCCGAGTTCCGGAAAGCTATTTTTCTATTCAGTTCTTTGGAATTCCTTCAAAGAAAACAAAAGAGGTCGACTTAATGCATGCATGCATTTTGTAATTCATTATGTAAGGATGATCTTATTGAATGATCTTATTCAAAACATCACAGATTTTTCCATTAGCAGTAGGTAGCGTATGTAGTGTATGTAGTTGGCGTTTTTAATGAATATAAAATAATTAAGTACGTTGCATTGAGTAAATGAATCGGTTCCTTTTCCATTAAAATATTTTTAAAGATTTGGCGAGCTCGTTGCTTATATGGCAGTTGTGGGTAATTTGGCTATACATACATACATACACGCGCGGGAACAAATTTATATTGTTGCATCAAATTTACTCGCAAACTTATGGTCGTTTTGCACATACTCGCTGATGATTAAATAAATTGTAGTGACATTAACTGTGAGCGAAATTCTGCTGGCCTTATAATCAAATGCATGATATTCAAGGACTTTCATGAAGATATTTAACAATGCTATCGCTAATCTGCTATAAGTAAGGCGGTGTACCAAGTTATTGTGATTGTATTTAAATTCATATTCAATTATGCCAATGTCTGGAGGTTGTATATATATGTATACCTATATAGTATTGTGTAGGTGTATAGAACCTTAATACTTAGCTGTAGTCTGGCCATATGCACGTATTGCACCTATTTTTTGGGAAGGATTCGCAGAGATTTGGTCACTATTCCGTAAAACCAATGAACATAAATTACTTTTTTTAACCAAATAACGTACAGTAGCTACATTCATGGTTATATATGGTGTAGATACTTGCCTCAATTCTGCGTTGCAATGATTGCGTGGGTGGAATAGAAATGACAAGAATGTGGGAAGAAGGGGATAAGGGTAAATGTAGGAGAGCCAAGCTTCGGCATGAATGGAATGGACCAGAGTGATACCACGGCTTCACAGAAAACCGGCGTGAAACAACCACAGCGTTGTGTTTCGCCGTGTGAGTGAGGTTACCGGGGCCTAATCCCTCCCATTCCCCCAATCCCTTCCCAATCCTTAAATATCCAAAACCTTTATCCCTAAAAGGTCGGCAACGCCACTCGTACGTTAACTCCTCTGGTGATGGAAATGGGCGGCGCTGATTGCTAACCATCTGCCTAATCCGCCGGTAATCCGCCTGCTCGTTTGCCGCCTAAACCATAAAAAGGATAAAATATCCCTTCACATCACCATCATCATCATCATCATCATCATCATCAACGTATAAGAGCTCATTATTGACAGAGGTCTGAGAATTAATCACCACTTGCTCAAGTGATTCAATCCAAACTGATAAATTAAAAGTCCAGATTTCCACACAATGTTTTCCTTTACCTATTGTTAGTGGGGTCCAAATATACACTTTAATAAGACAAAGACGACGTTACAGAAAAAGTTACATAGATACTTGCCAGGCTTCGAACTCGCACTCTTATGTATGAGAAGCGAAAGCCTTCGGATCACCACAAGCGACATTATTATTCACATTAAAGCATATCTTATTCTATCTTTTGATCAATATCAAACACGTGTACTAAATAAAAAACAATTGAAACAAGCAATTCTTCACACCAACACTTTAATTAATTAAAATACAGCTACAAAGGTGCTACCGGGCAGAGTTCAAACCAGTACCCGCAGCCGCATCTCTTGGGACAGCCCAGGTGTAGCCACATGAACTCCAAGTGGTTGTCACATGGACTGCAGCTACACGCCACTAGACGTTTGTCGTTCGAACTTGGGATCAGGTTGGGTCGCTCTCTAGTACCGGGACCTGTAGTCAAAATTTAATACGCGAGGAAAGAAAATGTCCGTACCACTTATTGTAAGGCGTGCGATTAGACGTGACTTCTGCGATACAGAGAGTGTTATTTTTAAATGTATTTTTTTAATTATGTTATTAGTTATTTAAGACACATGCTATATGTGATTCCAACAATATGCTATATGTATGTATGTATGTATAATTCTGCCTAGGAATTTGGAACTTACAGTGGAATAACGAGTAATCACATACATACATGAACCCTTAAAACATAACTCTACTTTTTTGGGCAGTGGTCGTGTAAAAAGGCAATTTTAGCGACCAAATTTGACCAATACCTTAATCACGCGGAATACAAAGTTTCCTTGAAAGAAAAAGTAATATTAATTGTCTATTTTCAATTCATGTATGTGTAGCAAAATAAATGGTTTATTATAACCCTTACCTTTTTTGATAGACATAATGCGAAAGGGATCACAGTCGCCTGCTAAATGTGCGAGTAGCTCTCTCTTCTCGAGGCCAGTCACGTGGTCTAGGGGGTCGTGCATCCCAGCGTACAGGCGGGATCCCGTTCTTCGGAAACCACCCATCGGGCGAATAGCACGCATGCACCACATTTTGAACCTATTGAAATTGTGTTAAGGTTTCATTTGAGAATGTCTTTGTTGTTACGGGTGTCCACGGACAACGATGATAAATCTTTAGCATGTTTGCTTTAATCTATAGCATCCAGGCGGGTAAAATATGATATATCCAGTCCTGTAAGTGTGGGAGAGCCACGTCTCGGCACGAATGGGTCGGCACGGCCTGAGTGTTTTTTTTTGTGTGATAGGTCGACAAACGAACAGGCGGATTAACTGATGGTATACAGTGAGCTGGATAACTCCCCTTAAATCTCAAAGGGTCGATGGCGAACTCTTAACTCCTCTGTTGTTGCGGGTGGCGCTGATTGCTTACAACCAGGTAATCAGTCGGTTCGATTCACATGAAAAAAAGTGTTGATGTAGGTTCTTTTTTTGCAAATATTGATGTAGCATTGTCGTAGCAGTTCATACGATATGATTTCAACTCTTATTATTTGTGATTGGGATGTTACCCAAACTACGAAATAATAAAGGATTCTTCTAAACGGCTATAGTTATAAATAAATCCTTTAGAACTCACCCACAAAATTTACTTCAAAACCAACGAAAACTTCGACTGACACAGAATTTACTTCAATATAATATGACAGCGTCACATTTTTATTCCAATTCAAAATTTTGTATAGGCACATAGAAACGTATTGAAGTAGTTCGTAGCAAGGAGAACTTATACATTACAATGTTAATCTACAACTCGTGTATCTTAAAACGAGACAATTTGAGGCTGTGTTATCTATACGCGGGCATATAATAATATTATTATACCTGATTTCTGCTTAAAGCGATAAAGAGAGTTAAGCGATGGACCCAATTTTCTTGTAGTACGTTAATAGTTCTTTGCTTAGAACCATGGTAATACTTGTTTGTTCCTATATTCCAGAAAAAAGTAACATACACTTCCTATATATTGAGTGACACAGTTAGCTCCAGCTAAAAAAAATACATTAACAAACATGCGACGTCGCAAGGACGATCCGCCCAAAAAGTCGACGACCGTTACAATGCAAGTGATCTTTATACTCGAAATCAATCATAGCCCACTTGCTCTTATTTACATATTATACGAACTAATACGGTAGACACCGAACTTCTTAAATGTATGATACAATTATGAAACATTGTAAAGCGACCGGTTCATATGAACTCGCGCCGGCGTAATAGTGTAATGCAATTCTGAGGCAGCTGGGCCGCGTATAAAAAGTCGAAGAGATTCTGTTGCAGCACATTCAACTTGAGGTCCTCTCATAGTTAACTCATTCATACAATTCAAAATGGCATTCAAGGTACGGATTTCTGAAATGGTCATCACAGTTTGAGAGTTGGAAATATTCAGCAATTCTTCTACTTTTACTATGTGCATTTTTGATTTTTAAATTTTTGTTGATTGTGTTTGTATTTTCTTTTATCCAGCTGGTAGTCCTGTTTTGTGCTTTCGCCGCCGCCAATGCGGGTTACGTTGCTCAGTCCGCCCCTGTCGCGTACGCGGCCGCCCCAGCAGCGCACGTGGTCCACGCCGCTCCCGTGGCTTACGCCGCTCCTGTCGCTAAAGTGGTCGAGGATTACAACGCGCACCCCCAGTACAGCTTCGCGTACGACGTGCAAGACGGTCTTACCGGCGACTCCAAGAGCCAGCACGAGAGCCGCGACGGAGACGTTGTACAGGGCTCCTACTCCGTGGTAGACCCTGACGGTACCAAGCGCACCGTGGACTACACCGCTGACCCCCACAACGGATTCAACGCCGTCGTGCGCAAGGAAGCCCTCGGACACGTCGCTAAGGTCGTCGCTGCTGCCCCCGCTGCTCCCGTGGTCGCTAAAGTAGCCGCCCCTGTGGCCTACCACGCTGCTCCCGTAGCCTACCAGGCTGCCCCTGTAGCCTACCACGCCGCTCCTGTCGTGCACGCTGCTGCCCCCGTCGCCTACTCCGCCCCTGTCTACCACCACTGAAACTGATACCTAGTCATACCCTGAACTGAACATTAAAGATTATTTATTTCATTAGACATATGATCATGAGCAAATAAAATATTTCTAAGAAGTTTAATATATTTTTTATTTACTTCATAATTTTAAAAAATATCTAAATAAGAATACGTAATAAGCAGTTTAGCCCACACTTTAATGATTTGTAACTTGCGTCTTTTTTATCTTTATTTATATTTATTTACAGCTATATTTTTTTCTTAATAGACAACGATACTCCGTTTATTGAGTACAAAAAATTAAATAAAAACGGACACTTATAAAAGACATATATTTATATTTTTTATTACATATATTTTATTATTTAAGTTAACCTATCTGCAACCTAGTTCAACCGTAATAATATTATTCATAAGAATTCTGGCCTCATCCGACAATGGCGAAGCTAGAGTGCTATTATAGTAGTCTACATTACAATTTTTGACGCCTAAGGTCTAAGGAACCGAGATTTCGACTTAATCGTAGAAATTTCTTATTTTCGATGATTCGCATGAGGATTCAGTTTGATCATATATTTATTACAAGTCATAAAACGTTTAGTGCAACTCGCCAAACTTCGAGGAACTAAGGCATCTCGAAAAAATAACGATAGAGTACCACACCGTATCTTATACACACATACATATACATAATTGAATAGACACAACACACGACACAACACGCACATCGCACCATAGTTTTCAGTCTCTACACAAACGGAATACCATTTTCCCTAACACTTTACATGCTTTCTAAATTTATATAGGCTATTTACTACATACTAAAAATTATTGTAATATAAATTCTCATGCACACATGTAGGTTACACGTTTTTAGATATATTATAAAAAAACTTGAAAAATAAGCTGCTAGTTAAATATGTAGCGATTTGAGAAACGGCTAAATATATTTATATACTAACATACATAACGAGAAGGTAGGCATGATTCCTAAGGCATTCTCTGCCAGTCTCCCTTGGGACAGTACAGAGACAGGGTTAAGTAGATTGTGGTAACATTTACTTTATTAAAAAGTTTCTTTTTATCAAAAGAAAAAAAAAAACATTCCATGCTAATAAAAGAAGAGATACAAGCATAGAGCAATAAAACGTAGAAGTACATGGACATAATGGAATGGTGCATGTCCTATATGCGCGCCGAAATGGGTAACAGTTCAGCATGTAAAACACAGAGCCTAGTGTGGGAGAGCCAAGCTTAGGCATGAATGGGTTGACTCGACCGGAGTGATACCACGGCCTCAAAGAATTCCGACGTGAAACAAACACAGCGTTGTGTTTCGCCGTGTGAGTGAGGTTACCGGAGGCCCAATCCTTCCACTCCCCCGATCCCTCCTAATCCCTAAATCTCCAAAACCCTACCAATTATCAATTTCTACCGTAAGTATAAACATGGTGGTACTTCGGTTATAAGGTAAATTAAAAAAAGGTAATTTTTACCAATATAAAATAATACAAAATTTTAAATAATTTAGATTCTTATTTATTTCAGTTCTTCATCGGTAATTGTACTAATAACTTCCTTCCGTTGCTTCTTAGTGGTGGTAGGCGGAGTAAGCTACGGGGGCGGAGTGGTAGACGGGGGCAGCCTGGTAGGCTACAGGGGCAGCGTGGTAGGCCACAGGAGCGGCTACTTTAGCGACCACGGGAGCACCGTGGTAGGCGACTGGGGCAGCTACTTTGGCGACAACGGGGGCAACCACCTTAGCGACGTGTCCGAGGGCTTCCTTGCGCACGACGGCGTTGAATCCGTTGTGGGGGTCAGCGGTGTAGTCCACGGTGCGCTTGGTACCGTCAGGGTCTACCACGGAGTAGGAGCCCTGTACGACGTCTCCGTCGCGGCTCTCGTGCTGGCTCTTGGAGTCGCCGGTGAGACCGTCCTGCACGTCGTACGCGAAGCTGTACTGGGGGTGCGCGTCGTACTCCTCGACGGCGACCTTGGCGACGGGGGCGACCACCTTAGCGACTGGGGCGGCGTATGCCACGGGGGCAGCGTGCACTACGTGCGCTGGGGCCGCGGCGTACGCTTGGTGGGCGACGTAGGCGGGGGCGGCGGAGTACGCCACGGGGGCGGCCGGGTATACTCCGGCGCTGGCCGCAGCCACCAAGCAGGCGAATACTACAAACTGCAAAAATATATGGATTACAGACACAAGCTAAAACATCAAACAACATTTTCATACATAAATATTTAATTAACGTGGTATTTATTATATAATCTGCTAAGCATTTTAGCTATTGTTTTTTTCTATTCCGTGGTTTAAATGTATACCTTGAATGCCATTGTAGGAGATGTGTACCAATTGAGTTCTACTGAACGTATGATATAAGTTTAGATTGATACGCGTTATTATATACGGGTGAAGTAGCCCCGCGGCGAAAGCTGGGTAAGTGACATTAAACTTGTACGCGAGTACCACAAGGCTATTCAGATGAAAGCAAGGTGTATGGAGCATTAATGAAATATTTGGTGACTTTGGTCTGCGTACCTTGTGACACTTCTTCAATATTTAAATTATTCCTAATTCTTATAGTAACACACAAATATAACTACGATATTGATATTCATATAATGAATCATCATTATGTATATATGACATGCTATAAAACAAACATTGTACGTTCATATAAAGCAGAAGTAGTCCGTTGCCGGAGATGCGCTGCTTATTACATAACTGACTGTCAGTCACTCGTTCACCGCGGCGGTGGTAACAAAATCTTGACCGTGAACTTGTGATGATGAGCCATTCTTACAAAATGTGTTGGTAAGCGCGTAACTCCAAAACTCCTGGACCAATTTAGTCCATTCTTTTTTTGTATTCCAGGCATATGGCCAGGAAAATGTTGTAATGAAAGAAAATTTTAAAAAGGTAGAGGGGAGAGTTGGGAATATGGACCCTTTCGTCGTTAGTTAGCGAGATATTTTTAGACTCGTGCGAAGCTGGAGTAAGCCGCTTGTTAATCATATATTTATTTCTATAGGTGATTAAGATTAAGGAATTTTTCAAACTTAAACTGTACTCTAATTTATGGTTACTTCATTTTCTAGAAGTGCCGAAAGGTTTATTCTTAAAAATTACAATATAATATTAATTGATTCTTACGTTAGTGCGTTTGGTATCGATCTGAAATGCACCTTGTTCGCTGCGACCTGAAGGCGCCTAATATACCATAATCATCATAGTATAAAAATCGGTGTAATGAAAATAATAAATGTACGTGAACCGTACACTGTATTTTATTTGCTATATTATTTATCACAACATCATGTAATGAACATTTACATGTAATGTATAGCTCTTACCCGCGGCATCGCTCCCATCATTTGACTACCTACCCTACTCTATCTACCGTACTCTACCTACCTTACTCTACGTACCCTACTCTACTTACCCTACTCTGCCTACCCTACCCTACTCTACCTACTTTATCCTATCCTGTGTCCTTCTCCCAGTTCTTACCTACCTCCCTACCAATTTTCAGCCAAATCGATTCAGAGTTATAAGTGGAGTAACTAACACGACTTTCTTTTATATATATAAGATAAAACTAGCTGACCTGACGAACTCCATACCGCCTCAGATACAACTATTTGCTTTGGCCTTTTAAACACTTTTAGACAGAACTTCCACGAATAATTCAAGACTGAAATTAGCCAAATCGGTAAAGGCATTTTTGTTCAACATTCAACATTACAACGAAAAGTTGCATTGATTTATATACCTACATATATAGATAACCAAACCACTAATTTGGTTATTTTACTGCCCTGAAATTTTTTTAAAGAGTTACCCCACTTTATGATTTTATCCTGTGTGTGTGTGTGTAAGGTTACAAAAATACAATTTAATTTATATACAATCCGAAACAACAATTTGTGGATCACACAAAGTGTTGTTCCATGTAATTGCACAATATTATTTCCCATTATTCTTTGGTGTTAGATATTCTGTTTAATAGTCTTAACTCTAAATAACAATAAATTTAAAAATAATTTTATATGTAAGTATTCTAATTCTAATTTCCAATAAGATATACTTAGGATGAATATTTTTTTAGAATTTGATACCAAAACGTTATTTTATTCAGATAAACTCAATATTTCTGCACCGACGACGGTAGTGTATGTGAAACTATAGGTATATATTATATTAAGATCTCGATATATACCATATACTCAGAAAGAAATGACTATTATATTCTTTTCAATTCTATTATAACTTCTGAGTTGAACATCGAAAATAGTCAACTTTTATGTTTCATCATCGTCATTATCATAATAATATTAGCTACAAGACGTCTACTGCTGGACATGACCTTCCCCAATAATATTCAGATTGACCAGTTGGTATTATGACTAGAACATTTACTATTTATGATTAACTTTTTTTCTCTTTCTATTCCTTTTTCCTTGGGTAATCTAAATACTTGCCTGGGTACATTGTCGGAACTTTTTAGGTACATCTACTCAGTTTATCCCCACAAGCAGGCAGGGGCTATATTTCGTACCAGTCGTAATTTCTCATTTCAGGAGCAAACTAAAACATGTAGTCTTGTCCATGTGTCTTTAATTTCAAGTCGAGACAGTTTTATGGATCGACAATCCTCTTAAAAAATAGAAAGGAAATTCAAGGAATTATATGTTTTCAAAACAGTTAACAGCGGTATACACTGCCATTGTTTTGATTTTACACCTTGAGTAAATTTCAAAGGCATATACAAATTAGCGAATAGAATTTGCGTTGAAGTCCTTGTAACGAAACAAGGCATTGTATTAATTGATCTAAGCGAGTCATCGACCGGCAGGGTGGGCGCCGGAGCCAGAGCTCTCGCCTCAGGCAATATCTTAATCATATATAACAGCAGTGTATCATAATAAAATATATCATTCGTTCAATAGAACTCATTTGATACACTTCTACAATGGCATTCAAGGTAATAACAAAAATTTATATAAAGACGCTGTGTTGCTTTACTTTTTTGATTTTGGAACATTGCGCGCAACTTATCTCAACAATTTCTGATTAATCTTTTGTTCTTCAAGTATCAAAGTACACCTCTTATTATGAACGTTTGCGCTATAGAAACCGAAAAATCATACTAAATTATTCTTCTTTGTTTTCAGTTTGTAGTATTCGCATGCTTGGTGGCGGCGGCCAGCGCTGGCCTGCTCCCAGCTGGTCATGTCGCCTACGCGGCTGGCCCCGTGGCATACGCCGCTCCCGTCGCTAAAGTGATTGCCCCCGTCGCCAAGGTCGCCGTTGAGGAGTACGACTCACACCCCCAGTACAGCTTCGCGTACGACGTGCAGGACGGTCTCACCGGCGACTCCAAGAGCCAGCACGAGAGCCGCGACGGAGACGTCGTACAGGGCTCCTACTCCGTGGTAGACCCTGACGGTACCAAGCGCACCGTGGACTACACCGCTGACCCCCACAACGGATTCAACGCCGTCGTGCGCAAGGAAGCCCTCGGACACGTCGCTAAGGTGGTTGCCCCCGTTGTCGCCAAAGTAGCTACCCCAGTCGCCTACCACGCTGCTCCCGTGGTCGCTAAAGTAGCCACTCCTGTGGCCTACCACGCTGCCCCTGTAGCCTACCAGGCTGCCCCAGTCTACCACTCCGCCCCTGTAGCGTACCACGCCGCCCCCGTCGCCTACTCCGCACCGGTCTACCACCACTAAATGTTTGTAATCTCGAATGTGATGATTATCACGAACTGATAATAAATAACAAATTTATTTATTGAACATAATATTCTCTTTTATTTATTTTAAATAATCACTGTGAATTTTAACCTATAAGAGCAAGAACCGTTGAGGTCTTTTCAAATTATATACATTATATAGGTGAACTGCTGTTCTTTGGCCACGCTAAAGCTCTGAAACGGCTGATCCGACTTTGTTAATTTTAATAGCACTTTAAATATTTGTTAAAGTCGAATATAGTTTTAAACGATTAGAAAATATGAGAAGCAAAAAACGTAAAAAATACTAAAACCGAAATTGTTTTTTCAGCTCTGTAAGTGACATTGTATATTTATTAACAGGAAGCAAAACTGACAAAACTGTATGTCCCGAAGTTCGCTGGAAAATATTATACCTAATAGTCAACTGCTGGGGCTCGACCAAGAGAAATGATAATATTAGTATGTTTTAATCATAAGAGCTTCAGCAAATAAGGTTTAGCAATGAATAAATAATAAATATGTAGTTCAAATGCCAACATTTTTGGCAACTGATACAATACATAACTTCGGCTTTGCGTGTGTAAAATGCCTTAGAAATCACGTATGATTTTTTCTGAAACTTCGACAATTCGAAGACTCGTGACGTTAATTGTCTTACATGACGTCACTGAAATTTTGCAGTTGCAAAGTTCATTGATAGGATATGATGTCAATGGTTCTAAAAAGATTTGTTAACTTACATGTAGTAAATTTATACTAACATATGTACCCAATTTCAATATTAATTTAATTACCTTTTAATTAAAAAAAAGTTTCGGTCAATCCCTTTTCAAACTCACAGTACCTATTCATAGTTGATATCTAGGAGCTAGGACACCCATTGTCCATTGGACATTATGCAATCAATAGTATGGGAAACTTAGCAAGTTCTTAAAGTGGAATCATTTATAAACGTTTGATGATATATTATTTTTAATATTAAGTGAATATTGAAGTCAAATGAAGCCTGAAACGATTTCCAATTTCATAATAGTTGGCCAAAATTCAAGAACGCGTTCAAATTTTCCGCCATTGACAAATTGTAGCTCATTTCCAATTGCGTGCACATCCATAGTGACGCGCACACATAATACAAAGCGCGAACTTGAGCCGGGATGTCACAACTTGCTGCTGCTATATATACCTCGCCGGAGAGAACAGGAGCATAGTCGAACAAGACATCACAACTCCTCCTCACCAACAAAAATGGCCTTTAAGGTAAAACTCCTTTATACTTCCTTGATTTTCTCTCTATAATTAATATTCTACTCACAAAAAATCGTATATGTTACAATTATTTCGAATCATGTTTTATTGTTTAACTAAGGATATCAAATCATCCTAAATTCCATACCATTAAGTTATATCATTCAGGTAACGGGGATTTCGTAGCAAAACTACTCATAGTTCCATCATTACACTATTAAGAAGTAGTAAGCGCTAACTAGTGTCTCGCTTTGTTACTAAAACTAATTGAAATGCGGGAGACGACACTTGTGTGTCCTTGACGAGCGAGGTATCCTCGGCTTGTTAGTAATTTCTCCGCGCATACACTTACGCAACCGCACTAGTCTCGCCCTCGTAAACTGTGTCACTGTTTCAAGTACAACATATGTGTCGCACTTTGAATGAGACCAGTGCCATCAGTGTTGACCGTTGATGGAGTTTGACTAATCAATTCGTTACAGTTCGTCATCCTCGCATGCGTGGTGGCTGTGGCCCGCGCCAGTGTGGCTCCAGCAGTGGCTGCTCCCCTCGTCGCGGAGCCCGTCGTAGCTGCACCTGTTGCAGCCAGGCTGGAGGAGTTCGACCCACTCCCACAGTACAACTTCGGATACAACGTGGCTGACTCGCTCACCGGCGACTATAAAAGCCAAACTGAGCAGCGTAACGGAGACCTGGTTCAGGGTCAATACTCGTTGGTGGACTCTGACGGCACTCGCCGTGTGGTCGACTACACTGCTGACTCAGTGAACGGTTTTAACGCAGTGGTGCGCAAAGAACCTTTGGTAGCTGCAGCTCCCGTGGTGGCTGCGCCAGCTCGTCTCGCAGCCGCTCCCGTCGCTGCTGCTCCAGTGGCCGCGGCCCCCGTCGTCGCTGCGCGATACACCGCTCCCCTCGCTTACACCGCGGCGTACCCCGCCCCAGCAGCTCGGCTGGCGTACAGCGCGCCAGTAGCCGCCGCCTACGCCGGCCCATTCGCCCGGTATGCCGCCGCACCGTTCGCGTTGCCTGCTGCTGCACCCGTTGTAGCGGTCTAGACATTTATTATCCGGTTCCTGCATGACTGACAACAATGGCAAATAAATTTTATACAACATTAAATGCAATTTTATTTACATAACTTTAAGGTTTATATATCGCGTTTGTACAGATAGACAGACGCGAAAGAGGACCTCTGCTGAAATTAATATAGATTTTTTAAATTTACTGATACACATCACGATACACGTAAATTAAATAGTTTTAGATTATATTGTACTTCTGTAGATGAGTAAGTGTACAGTATGGAACGGAATAGAAAAAAGCAACTTTTCTGGTCTTTTGTGGTGTATGGGTACAAAAAATATTTAATGGATTTAAGGAAGTTTGCTACACATTTTTTTTAGGAGCATTATGGTAATATCAACTTGTCTTTAACATACAAAATTCATTGAAAACTCGTTTCAACTCAATTTTAGTTTAAACAAAAATATTTATTCATCAATGTTTAAAATCATAGACAAACATTAGAAAACGAAGTCAAGTTTCGACTCGACTTGACCAAGGAGTAAAACCAAATTAGAACGTAAGCAGACAATTAGACAGATTTGACATTATTTGACCTTGTCAAGTACACACTTCAGAAAACACCTATATACAGTTTTATAAATAAGTTTAGTTTCATTATTTTTTATTTATAGACTTTTGTTATATCGTTATTGTTAAAATGGAGGAAAAACAGCTGTATGGCGCTCTTACGGTGTATCGTGAAAGAGGCGCTTATTTACGTCGACTCGAACAATTTGAGAAGGCGAAAGCTTCTTATGATGAAGCGTTCAAGAGTAACTCCGAGGATGTGCGCACACTGACGGGACGAAGTCAGGTGTGTGCGGACGCCGTGCGGCCTGTACAGGCGTATGCTGACGCAGAGCTGGCGCTCAAGTTGTCGCCCGGTAACATGAACGCGCGCAACATGCAAGCCCGTGCCATGTACACAATGTCTGACTTCGAACGCTCTGTCGTTATGAACTTCCGAGGACTACGCCTCCGACGCCAACCACCTTACTTCATGGAAGGTATCAATCAGGGAGTTGAAACTATTCAAGATTGCATCGGAATAAACGCCGGTAACGTTATGTTAGATTTTCTGCCACTCATTAAACAACTAGAAGCGGCCCGTCTAGATGATAACGAGCCTCAAAAAGTTTTACATGTGAACCGCATACCCAAACAGGAACGTAAACGTAAGCTAACTCAAATGGAGGCACGTAAGCACAGCACCTTAGCTCGCGTACTCGCTATGAAATATCTCGGGCCAATGGCTTACGATAAATTTTTCCTTCAAGATTTATATGATGATCCAAGCCTTATATCCGCTAATGCAAGCGGCAGTCAGGAATTAAGAGCTCTTGTAAAGGAAGCCTTACGATCTCTCAGTGAAAGACAAGAAATGCTACGCGCACAGAGACCGTACTACACAATTAAATTAGCTGAAAAAGCTGAATCCAAACACCAGACTAAGTACAAAGAGGCTGTTCTTATCCGGGAACGTGAAATCGGAGCTAAGACCGCAGAGCGCTTATTGAAACAAATTGAAAAGAGTATGCGTGAACATCGCGTTATGGATCTTATTGCACAAGCGGAGCGCATGCAAATGTTCCTTGATGTAAAGACGCCGAGAACACTACCGGATAAAGAGATTTATACTGATCGTTTGTATAGAGCGGTAGGAGAAGGATACCTCTCACAACATCGTCTGTCTTACACACTTAGCGAGCGTGGAAATCGCCGCCGGATTGCATTCCTCATGGGCTTATCCGTTGGCCGTCCAACTTCTTTCGATTCTGTTATGGCGAATTATCCTTACAAGTTCATTGACATTAAGCAAGCCACTGAGAAAGTTATGTCAACTCTAGAAATGTGTGAAAATTCAACAATGAAATGTTGGTTAATGTACGAACTCGCGAGACTGCTGTCAATGCAAAAGAATTTCGCCCTCGCAAAATTTTATGCAAAACGATGCCAGAGAGAGGCTCAGGAATTGGGAAATATTACTTGGTGGTTAAACGGTTGCTTCGTATTAATGAGCGGCGACATGCAACAAGGCAATGCAAACGAAGTGCGTATAGAAGTCGAAGAGGCTTTAGAGTGGTCAAAAAAGCTGCAAGATCCTGAGAGAGTGCAAGCTTTCCTGGTGAAATGTGAAGAAATGGCCTCGGAGACGGTTACTGGAGATGACCGTAAAGCTGTCACAACACGAGAACGACAGATCATGGCAGTGATGGACCCAGAGACACGTGTGGAGACACAGGTGCTGTTTAAGCGTATGTCGACGGTACCTACCGGCCGACGGTTCTCTGTATTGCCAAGGCGGTCGGACGCTGCTGCTGATTCACGATCTGAACGCAAGAAGCGTCGTCAACGCGGTCTAACTGTTGTCCCTGGACCTGAGCAAGAGCTTCCAGCAGCACCCAAGTCAGATGTGGCCGGTTACCAGCTGTTTGATATATAAATTGACTGAGACTTGGACATGATCCTAAAAATGGAATTTTTTAAGTGTCGTCATAACCTCTTATAAAAAATTATAGGATTTTTTTTGCACCAAAAAGTCTTAGGAATATTTTAAAAGAATCGCCAATTCACATTAAGCAAAAACAACATGTCTGGACTATTGTCTGGTTAGGGGAACGACGACGGATTCTGTTATGAAACAATGTATTAACATTTGTAAAAATGCTATTAAACATCACATCTACTTTTACAATCAATATGTAAAATGATTCATTTGTACATATATATCCATATATAATTATGACGCTGTTGTGTCCCAGAGATTAACGTGGCCGCTTCTCATGCATGGGTGCGGGTTCGAAACCTGGCAAGCACCAATGTGACATTTGCCAATATTTTTGTATTTTTTTGCTGTTTTGGTATTTTTTTATGCAATAGGTCGGCAAACAAGCATACGGATTACCTGATGGTAAGCAATCAGCGCCGCCCATGGACACCCGCACCCGCAACGGAGGAATAACAAGTGCATTGCCGACCTTTTAGGAGATTTAGGAATTGTGGGAGGGGAAGGATTGGGCCTCCGGTAACCTCACTCACACGGCGAAACACAACGCTGTTATTGTGTCACGCCGGTTTTCTGTGAGGCCGTGGTATCACTCCGGTCGAGCCGACCCATTTGTGCCGAAGCATGGCTCTCTCACACTTAAATTACCATTAGTATTACCATGAGAAAGCCTCGCATGAAAGAAAATTTCAGAGAAGTAAAGAGTTAGTTTAGATTTTGGACACCTCTGCGATGCGTGGCCGAGCCATTTGTTGCAAATACATAGATAACATACAGGATATCTAATGTAAAGCAGTTAGTTGCCTAACTTATAACTATTTACTCACAATTATATCAATTTCTAATATTGTAACTATAAGTAGAAGAGTTAGGTTAGGATAGGTCAATAAATATATTTCTGGAAGGCACTCAAATTAAACTGTAAGTTACTAAACTAGGTTCTTAGGTCTAGATTACATCTTCTAAGTAGTTATTCTGTTATGTTTGTTTAACCATGGCTCAAATTTAGCAAATTCCCATTTTACTACAACTGTCCACTTTTACTAAAAATACTACTTTCACTAAAAATGTTATCTAAACAAAAGATCCGGCAGATTTTTGTCCCATTTCCATAATGTATACACATTTTGTTGCGTCAATTTATTTTTTGATTCCACCCAAATTACAAATGTTCGACAGCACTGGCGTGGGCACATCTTGAGGATATTTGTTTTACGATTGAAACAGATTGTATGCTGACAGAGAATATCATTAACAGTTTAAAGGTGTCTGGTATCGATTGTGTCAAAATGGGAACAGAAGTAATATAATTATAGTGTAAAATTCAAGAATTCAAACAAATTTTTATTTGTAAAATAAATATTTATTTACATTAAGTATGGCATTCAAGCTTGTCATATAATTATAACTTAGTGGTGGTAGTAGGGGGCTGATGAGTAAGCTACTGGAGAGGCATGGACTACAGGGGCGGACTGGTACGCAACAGGGGCTGCGTATTTGGCGATGGGAGCAGCATACGCAACTGGGGCAGAGTGGTATGCTACGGGGGCGACCACTTTAGCAACAGGGGCAATCACCTTGGCGACGGGAGCAACAACCTTGGCGACATGTCCGAGGGCTTCCTTGTGTACAACAGCGTTGAAACCGTTGTGGGGGTCAGCAGTGTACTCAACAGTGCGCTTGGTACCGTCAGGGTCTACCACGGAGTAGGAGCCGTGCACAACATCACCATCACGAGTCTCGTGCTGGCTCTTGGAGTCACCGGTGTGTCCGTCTTGTACATCATAAGAGAAGCTGTACTGGGGGTTGGTGTCATAGGCCTCAACCTTGGCAACAGGGGCAGCGTATGCCACGGGGGCAGCAATTTTGGCCACGGGAGCGGCGGCGTAGTATGCAGGAGCGGCTTGCACAGCGTGGCTGGTGTAGGCGAGGGGAGCCGAGTAGGACACTTGAGCAGCTGGTAGAAGGCCAGCGCTCGCCACAGCCATCAGGCAAGACAGGGCGACAAACTGTTAAAACACAATATATAATATTAAACACAATTAATTTTAAAACCGAGTTAATTAAAATAAAAAGTAGCTTATTTGGTAATACCTTGAATGCCATTTTCGGTAGTGGTAATGTTCAACAGAGGGATAGAACTGCCGCTTACAGTGCACGCTCTCATTTTATATTCAACGCGCGTGCACTCGTGGCTTACATTTATGTGACGTCACGAACCCGATCCGGTAATCGAGCCTCGTGTGTATGACAGTTTATTGAAACTTTCGCTTTCATTGAGGTGGATAACCAAGGCAAGGTCACGATCTTCAGCGGAATTCGAGCGTTCGCGTCCTGCGCTGCCCAGTACAGACCGGTAAGCACCATCTCGTGTGCATAAAGTTAACAATCACATATCGCGTTGACCGGTATGAACTTCCAGGTAATCAAAATTCTATAAAACAACATTCACAATATAATGCATTTGATGACCTGTTTATTTTCGTTATACTTGTAAATACAAAAAACTTTACCAAAACACGGTAATATCTTATGGTCGTCAAGTACCTATTTAGTTCTTACGTTTTGATTGAGATCGTATTAAAAAGCATAGTTACTAGCCATGATATTTCTTTTAGAACACATATAACAATGAAGTTATATTGATTTGTATCAGATTGATTTTGTCAGAAAATTAAAAAAAAAACTTTAAACCCGTGGCGTTGCGAAATACGAAGATTTGAACCTGCAATACTTTTAAGCATATTATGCCTCTCTTCAAGACATGTAAGTTTTAGATTAAAATGTAATAAAACAACAAAAATCAATGTATCAAAAAGCGTTTATGTACATAAATAACAATAGTATAAAAGATCCTAATAGTAAAGATATCAACAACAAAATTGTAATAATTCATCTAGAAGTAGTAGGGGTGAGGTAGCCTAGGGGCGAACAGCGGCGCGGGCGCAGCGGCCAGTACAGGGGCAGGTGCTCGGGCGAGTATGGGAGCTGGGGCGACGACAGGAGCTGGGGCGACAACCCTAGCAGGGCCTGCGACGACCAGGGGCTCGCGGCGCACAACCGCGTTAAAGCCGTTAAGAGGATCAGCAGTGTAGTCTACAATCCTTCTTGTGCCGTCAGGGTCCACGACGGTGTATGATCCAGTAACGAGGTCTCCGTTCCTGTGTTCCTGATGACCCTTGTAGTCGCCAGTGAGTGAGTCCTGTACGTCGTACCCATAGGAATACTGGGGAAACGGGTCGGCGCGCACCACGGGAACAGCGGGAGCAATGAGACTCGCGCTCGCCACGCCTACCAAGCAGATGAATACTACAATCTGAAACAAAACATATTTTTTGTTAGTATAGAAACATGGAATGAACTCTTTTTAAAAGTTCAGAAAAGAAACTTGAAAGACAAATAAAGAGATTCGCCAAATCTACAACGACCTATGTAGGGTGTATAAACAAGACACTATGTCTGTCAATTCAATATCTATATAACAATTTCTCCTAGTTGACGTTTGTAGAATAAATATGATGTATTAATATCGCAATAAATCCGTTATATAATAATAATAAGATTGAGCAACAATATAAGTGTCACGTTGTTCACAAGTGCGGTGTCCACTAGCCTTGCGACATGCTTTAAACCCTTTCTTCGTAACCGCACGCGACAGGAATTACAATAGTTTAATGTATGCGACGTTTGCCGTTGCATTTTGACTGAATCCTAATTGAGTTCTTGTTGTTGTAGAACTTTGTGAATAAATTTAATCAAAGTATTTTAAACTACTTTCGCTGTTGTTTCGGTTGTCATAAATATTTTTAGATAAACATTTATGAACACTAAGATATTAATCTAAAGCTAAATTTTATAACAAGTATATGTTAACTATTTAGACAAAAAACTTGTGAGTACGACAAAAGTAGTCAACATTGTTAACCACGCAACACACGCGTTGAAGTCTTTTCCTTGCAAATCGAATTTAGACTAAGTTACTTATCTTGTAACGTTTTATTATTAAATTTCATTAGACTTTTTATACATAATCTCCAATTTGACTGTAGTACAACATTTCTGCTAGAAAATGTATCCCTAGGGACCACTGTTAGAAATATATCATCGTTAGCTACACCAACTTTAAACTTACTTGAAAGCTTATTATTTACATACAATAATCTATCGAAATCTCAATACGCTCGAATGTTGTAATAATTGCAATACATTGGCCTTATAAGTCATCAATAAACAACAATGCAAAGTCAGGTGAATAAAATATACCTTACTTCATTTTACAGTTATTTTTATATTCGCACTTGACCATGAAAAAAACCTTCGTTAAAGTTTGTATTAAAAGATATTCGGAAATAAACATATTTAAGGACACTATTCATTGTTATGTATAGGGGCAAATCGAATCGAAAGCGCCAGAAAGAAGGCAGTGTCGCAAAGTGTCCCGATATGGATCGTGTTGGTCAATGTGCGCGCGCGCACGAGTTTGCACGACACAATTGCGCGTGCGACGCTCGAGTTAGATGATATCGTGATGACCAAGACCGAGACACTCATTTACGAAAATTAGTTTTATTTTTAATTTTATTAGCATTACAATGTTTTGTTAAAAAGTAACACGTTTGAAGTTGGATCGAATTTGTTTCAAATGTACAATCGTTTCAAATGTTGTTTTTAGCAATCTAGGTCCATTATGTACATAAAATGAATTACAATTATATTTCAATCTAATCAAAAAACCTGCCAAAACGATGCGAATTACTAATATTTTTAATGAAATTACTGAAAATATGAATTAATAAAAACAAATTAATAATTAATAAAATAAAATAAAAATTTCACTATCGTACCTTGGAGTCCATGTCTGTATGTGTGGGATAGGATGGTCACAGTCCTCGAAGTGGAATGTAGTTCCCTGGCGGTCGTCCTCGCGTTATATATCGAGCACTTCGTAACTAAGTACGTGATGGACATACAGCACAGCTTATTGAAGAAAGTGCTACGAATTACGCGACACCGATGACTCTTGCGATACATGTTACGTTTCACGAACTGTATCAGCTCGCTGTATCAGCGGCTTTCATTGATTCATAGAGGCTTCCGGGTTTGTCCATTGTCTAAATATGTGGTTGTTTTGTACCATGTCGTGAGCTTGTGGTAGGATTTCACCCGTTTGTGAATAACAAGAGCGAATTGGATAAATTTCTGTGCGAAATCAATTTTGATGATGAATTAGTTGAAGATTGGAACCTTTACTTATAGTTTGGTTTCTTGGCAAATAAAAATGTTGTTGGGAGATACATTGATACTGAACTGATTGACCAAAATATTAGTAACGCAAGTAAAATACAGTGCCACATTTATCATATATATATTGCTTGTTATTATGAATAAATAAATGAATATTAAGAGCTAAAACGAATATCTGCATTAGAGTCTGAACTGTGTGATGCCCATAATTTAGTTTCTTCTTCGCAGAAATGTATGTGTACAAATTATGTTAAACAAAACAATCACACATTGTATGAGGAACTGGTAGGCTGTAGGTTACAGTGCGAGGAACCAGAGCCAATTACAATAGACCTGACTGGTGATGACACCGTGCATAGATGTCCCTTTCAATCTCACAATAAACTTAAAAAATATATAAAAATTAATAAATTTTTAAAGAAAACACAAAGATCACTTAAAAAACACAATTTAATAAAAGTGAATCTAAGACTTAGAAAAGAAAGAATTAATTTAGTTAAAGATCTCCAATCTTGCACTACCCAAATGGATAGCAATAGGGAAATATATAATAATAATATAAGAAGCCTTCAGGGTGACTTATCAATAAAAGAGGGTATGTTGAGGGATATTTTCGAGAGGTATGAGGAATCCCAGCAGCAATTAAGCGAACGCCTGCTTGAGGCTGGGGAGCTGATGGACATGGTGAAATACAACGCTGAGAGATATGAGTCGTTAACAAATAATATTGTCTGCAGTTGTGTGAACCAACCTCAGTCTCCTGAGCCTTCTCTTGAGTCCTCCTCAATAGTAGCACACCCACAGAGAATTGTTGGTAGTAGTAATAGTAGTAATTTAAAATATAAAGCATTAATATATGGGGACCAGCTTACATCTGGTTTAGGTAACATGATATATGGTCACTTAGACCATAATTACATTAACAATAGTTATCATAGTCTGAGTTACAATAAGATTATTGAAAAAATAACTCAGACTGAATATAATGAAAAATCAATATTAGTTTTATTAGTAGGTAACAGTTTGGATGTAAAAAAAAGGGACATTGTAAACGGTGTGGACACTTTATTAAAATTAAAATTGGGAAAAATAATACTTTGTGCATTTCCCTATTCGAGTACCTTAACAGACTCCAAAAATAGACATTTAGGTGTACTTAACAGTCCGCTACACCAATTGACATGTTGTCATAGTGACAAATTAATTTTTTTTGATACTAATAAATTTATTAGTGATTTTATATTGACAGAGAGAGGCATATCCCTCTCAAACACATATAGAAAAACACTTGCTATGCTAATAGCATTGAATATTAACTCTGTTATAAAAAATATAACAGATATTAGTTTTAGGGACGAATCTGTGCTGTCTAGGCTACCTAACAACACAGTGATAGATTTAAACTAGATTTTAAGACAACAGAACATACCACCATATATAATGTTAGTAGTAAGGTATATTCTGGCAAAAAAAAACTCATATCAAATGTTGTTACACAGGCTCAGGGGCAGCACAATCTTATCTTATTTTATATTAATATTCAGGGCTGCTCCTCTAAATTATTTGAATTAGAAATGTTCCTCGAGAAAACACAATTTGATATTGTGTGTTTAGCGGAACATTGGATGAAAGAGGACCAATTAATATCTTTTAATTTTGATAATTATATTGTAATAAGTAATTTTAGTAGAAAGTATATGTTACATGGTGGGTCTTTAATTTTAGTTAAAAATAGCATTAAGTCCAAAGAAAGGAAAGATATTGTAGCACTGTCAGTTGAACACACTATTGAGTTGTCCTGTGTTTAGCTGGATAGACATGTTGTTGTTTGTGTATATAGACCACCTAATTATCAGAATCTTGCATTGTTTGATTCTGTAATGGAAGAT